TTCCTTCTTTCCTTCCTTCTTTCCTTCCTTCCGCGATCTTCCACGTGCCTACTTTTGCAAACGCAAGGGACAAAATCTCCTCCGTGACTAAGGCACGTGGAGTTAAAACCTCACTTCGTGGGTCCACGTGACCACCCAGGACTCTCGAACGCGGTGGGCGTATCCCCTCGGCCCAGAACTGAACACGGACTTGCACGGCCTCTGTCCCAGCAAAATTCACACAAGTGGAGTCTGCGCATGCTCGGCGAGTCGGAATCAAAACAAAAGAAGTCGACAGTCCGAAGCTCAAGCGTGAAATTTGGTCCATCGAGACGCCGAGGCGGTGATGTAAGAAAGTTAAAATACTGTGAATGAAGACAATTACGTAATTTGTAACTTTCGTCTGGCATCGCTGCTGAAAAAGGACGACAGCGAGAAACACAAACAAATATGGAAGAAACAACTGAGAAGCCTTGAAAACGCGGAGATGAGACGCAGAAACGAAAATTCCGACGACATAGTCCAGGAAATTTCCTGCTCATCAAAACAGTCCAGTGGTAACTATATGTACCAGCAACTCGACGTTCTGTACATACGGGTTTTAATGTTTCTCAGAGCAAACAGCGATTATTTCCTTAAACAGCGTTAATCAGTTGATCTTCGTAATGATGAAGTGTTGTGTTTTCTTCGCGGTACGGACTGAATTCGGGATAATTTAATTCGTTTAGATCTTCCATGATCCTTCTCCCCGCGGAGACCCCCGGTTATTCCGGGTGTGCAGGACGTCAGTGTTATAAGAGTTATATTAAGCAAGGAATGACCTGGCACAATTTCTCAATATTACTTACGATTCGAAGGTTTAATCTAACTGAAAGAAATGGACGCATGCCGCGAAGTTATATTAAATTTTGAGCACGCGATCTCAAAAACAAGACTTCGGTACGCGTAAGAAAAATTTACCGTACAAAGCCACATCTCGAAGGTGTCGTGCCGTGCAGTCTGATAAGACTTCATCGACGTCGGTAAACTCCTAACCAGTCACCTTCAAACTCGCAGCCGCGAGAACCCAAAGTCTCCACATAATCAGTCCCTGATCGTCTTCGACGTCAAATATCTGCTGCAGTTGATAACGCAGACGAGAGCCTCCCAGTGAGCGGGAGGCTGCTGTTGCCCTGGAGACGGGCTTATTGATCCATCCAATAATCTTTTCTTCCACCAAATCTACTTGCACTTTCGTTCCGTGACCCACTTGGCGCTTAGAGCGGAACCACGCGCAGTTAACAGCCTGATAAGTGAAGGGCCAGGCCGTAGGACGTGGAGTGTCCCCGGGGCAGAAGTTCGGTCACAGAACAAAATATTGAAGTTTCCTGAACACGAGAATTGAAAACCTGAAGGCAAGGCGTCCAAAATGCTACGCCATGAAAGTTCTGGGAACGATTTACGTCTCAACTCTCCTTTCTAGCCGGAAGTTAACAAGACCAGAAGGGACAGACAGAGCGATGGCTCTGAAATCCATTTATCCCGTGTTCCTGTCACTTCAAAACTTTAACACATTTTCAAAATCCTTAATTGAAGTCTTCTTTACTAGAAACTGATTGTCGAGGGTTTAAGCACAGTTCCATATCAGAAACTATTTCATGCGTGCAATATATCGATTATACGTCGATATTTCCCTAAACCTTCAATTTCTACGTCCTCATGTTTCAACTCGAAACCTTCTGGACTGAATTTGTTGAAATTAGGTACGAACGTTGTGCAAATTAAAACTTTTTAACTTAATATAGGGAACGCACAAACTTACGAGAAAAACACTGGCGTAAGCTAATACAGGATCCTGAAATTATGTATAGTAAGACATTGACGAAAAATGTACAATTCTTGTTGGGACGAGCTTACGACGATTATAAACAACATATTTTAGTTATATTTCGCTTTTATGGTGATAACATAATGAGCCATTGTGATTAAGAATGTAAAATATGGTATATCACGAACACAAGTGTTGCCAAAACATAATTACGGTAAGAGTTTTGGGTTATGTCCGTCAAAATCAACGTCTCCCAAAAAAGCAAATAAATAAAACACATTTTTACACAAAAAAATTCAAATTGGACAAGAATTCGAACGTTAGGGCAAGAGTTCAGTGCGCATGCCCAGGAGCTGAACTCCGTTTGACATTCAAATATGATTTCTAAAGACTCAATTTAAAGTTTCTCGTATAGTTTAAAAAACAGATATTTTGTTTTATGATATGTTCTATAATATAAATAGGTTAAGCGACATCTCATCAGTTTCTGATAAAAAATATTAAACAGTAGAGCGGAATGACCATAATTAACTTTGGATCATCAGGTCTCATTTTCCGTGAGAGCAGACGATGCTAACGACACAGTCTTACGCGCAAATGGTAACATCGACTCCCGGTCGACTCGCAAGTTTTTCTTATTATTCATTACCAGTTCAAATGTTTACAGAGCATCATTAAGAGGGCATGACGTACTTTAATTTCGATAAGAAGTGATTACTCCAGCGCCTGTCGTGCATAACCTCACACTCACAAACTTGAAAATACGCTCCATTTCTCTATTTTACGCTGCAGAATCAAATGGACTTGGTAAACTTTATTTGTGAAGATTTTTCTCTCGCCAGACAGCAAATGAGGAACAGTCATTAAGTGACATTACCAAAAGCTTTTCGCAAAACTGACACGCGTGTATCGTAGACAGCGGTTAATTACAAGTGCTTGAATTTCCTTCTACCCTCAGGCTAGTGACGTAGGCGAAACGCACAGTTTGATCCCTGAAAACACGACCTTCGTCAGGAGGGAGGGTGGAGCTGCCAACTCCTCTACTCACCTCAACGGTCACTGCAATGCGCCACTTCGAGACCGCATCTGAAACAACGAGACACAGAAATCAGATCGCTCGCCTCTCCTTCTTCAAATTCTCAGCCATTTATGGAACCCGGATATTCATTACCGTGTTCACAAGTCAGCCGTTGGTCCTATCCTGAGATGAACTCATCCACCCGATTCATCCAATGTTCATTTCAAAACTGCCCTCCCCAAAACGCCTACGTCTTACAAGTGGCTTCTTCCCTTCGTATCTTCATAATAAACTTTCTCCTAGCTCCCATGCGTGCTATGTTCCCACCCATCCCACCCTCCTCGATTTAGTAGGACTCGAGGTTCTGCCCTGATCTCAGACACCTTCAATCTGTGTCCGTCCCTTGGAGTGAGAGAGGAAAAGTTTCACAACCATACAAAACAGAAGGAAAGTCATGAAATTTACGCTCACGAAGGAGCCAGAACATTTCGCTAGTCGAGTCTTCGGAGTTGCAGTTCTTAGTGGAACTCTTTAAAGCCGAAGCTCGTCTTCATAGTATATAAACATTCAGACCGAACCGCGAAGAAAACACAACCCACAACCATTACAAATATCAATCACTTTATGCTGTTTAAAGAAAATATTCGGTTTACTCTACGAATTAAATAAGATCGACCAATAAAATTGAATTACGGATTATTAAAGCAGGCGGTGAGTGCGCGCGCATGCGCGCGTGTGTTCCTTCAGGCTTTTTTTTTCATTTCTGATTCAAACGAGAGAACTGGCATTAACGCATTTTAAGAATTGCAACAGAAGATGACTGTCTTCTGAGTCGTTGCGCCGTGTAGCCTGGCAAATTAATGGAGGCAGCAAGGGCCTCTGAAACGTCGGTAAACTTCTACCACACTACAAGGCGGCACAACCCAGAAGACGGCCGTCTTCAGACTCACCGCCGTGTAAACCTCAAGCCATACAAAGAAAAAAGACTTCCAAAAGCGTTACTACATTAGAAACAAAAGAATACTGAAACTCGTAAACAGGCCTGCGGTCTATATCCTTGAAGAAGGAGTTTGAGGAGGAGGAGAAGCAGAAGAC